CAGCCAAGCTGTAGCATTCTGCTGTTCTATTCCTCTGCTACTTAATATTCACTGCAAGTTGAAGATCTGGGTGGATAACTAAAGGCTGGCAGCCAGAAAATGCACACAACGTGGGAAAACTATCCTTGGACTGATGTCAAGGACAGCTTTGACATTCGTAAAAGTCGTAAATCACTTCTACTTCTTAAATGGCTCTTGACTTCATGTGCTGAGGAAAATATTTGTTGACTGTGTAATGAGTGTCTATATTCTCCTGTAAACATTCTTGTTTGCATGGTAAACAGGTATTCTGCATTTCCTTGGGTGAGCAAACAACAGAAGACATAAATGAAATTAAATCAGGTAATGACTTGGGTGTCAGGAAAGTAAGTCCATAATGGTGATTTTTGTTGTATTCATTCACTCTAAAACTCTTTGATATCAGACATACATAATTTCTGTCATGGGATTGCAGTTGAGGTACCACATTTGTGCAGGCCTGGTGCCAGAATAGTTACCAGCTTCTGTGAAAAGCTGTTTTCTCTTCTAGATGTTCTTGAGATGTATCAGTGTATATATTTTCTGCCGTTATGGGCTCTCATGACTGTCTTACAGAAAATATTGCAGAAAATTTGCCACTATCTCCATCATTGCTCCAATGGAGGGCAACCTGGTTCGGGGGGTGGTACATCTGTAATTTAGCTTTTATAAAGCTATTTAGCTTTTCCTTTTCCAATAAACAGTTCAGTGTATTGGCTTAAGCCATTGCCAGAAGTTCATCTGAGGGAACCTCAGTTTATTTCTAGAGCAGGAGTCAATCCAATGAAAGAAGAAAATATTTGGGTTACTGGAAATGTCCTAAATTGTGCCATACACATCCAGGTGCTCATTTGTTTGTCACCTGATTTCTGTCCTCTTGGCTCCTCTGACTTAAAAAACATATCTTGATCCTACCTAACAGCCACCTGCAGGTATAGCATGCTTTTAAGAAGAAAGTGTGATTTTAAGTCGTGATCTGAGACAGATAAAAAGGTATGCTATCTACCTCATAGATGAGCACTGAAGTTGCTGAGCTAAGTTGAAAGTGATTGACATTTCCTTTTCTGCCTTAAATCAGTTCTGGCCTTTGATCTGAATCTTCTCTCATCTTCCCCACATTCAGAGAGTAAAGGACTCTCTGGGGACTTCTACTGAATCAATGTGTGTATCTAGAGGGGATGGTGGATCTCAGATGAATAAAATATAATGATTTTTTTTATTTAGGCACCTAATAATAAAAACAACCTGTGATGATGAATTCCAGAGAATTTTGTAGAGGAAATGCATTTTTCAAGTTAGATATTAGCTTACCCGAATGATGATGCCAGGTATATCAGGATACCCTTGAAGGTCACTGTTGACCCTCATGAGACTACCAAAATACTTCTCACTCACAACCCACTCCAAGAATAATATGCAAGACATTCAATTTGGAAAGTTAATGTACTGCCTGACAGGTCCAGCCAGTGGCAGACCATCTCTTCCAAATGAAACCCACATTACTGGCAGCATTAGGAAAGAAAAGTGCTAGGGAACACTAAAAAGTTTTTCTAACTCTAATATAAATAGTTTAATCACATTTTGAAAGCACTTAGAGAAGTATTTGGAGGGTTTATTTGAGTACTTAATGATGATGGGACTTGAATCCTGATTTTGTCTAAACATGAGATAGAATATCATTTTATGTATAATTTTGAAATATTCCAGAAAGAGATTCACTAGGTCACAATCATTATTGGAAAAACTTTATATATGTTTTTCACTGCAAATTATCTAAATTCAAGATCTGTGAGGTAGTGAATTTGAAAATTTAAATTTTGAATTTAAAAAAGGTATAATACATTATAGAAAGCTGCAGAATAGAAACTTGTGCTCTCTTTATTTCCTTTGTTTTTCACACACACACACATATATATGCAGTAAATTCAGGAATTTTCTTGCACCCTTAATTACCTTAAATGAGTAATTAGACTCAAAGAAATTGAGATTTACTTGGCACTGCACATTCTCTGTTCTTCATATTGTCTTTCATTGGTGATATTTTTGGAATTTAACTTTCATTGTATAATGCAGAGCAAAGAATAACAAGGGCAAAAATAGTGACATTCCCTGGCACATATTCAAGGAATCTTCCAGTAGAGCAAGTAGTAAAAATGGTTTCAAAATAGATAAATATTGTTTAAGGATACTCTATGTTTTCCCCACAATAAATTATACTGAGATATTGCACTTCCTTGAAAATACAGTGGTGAATGTCTGTCTGTTAAAGATCAGAATGTTAATTTCCAGCAACGGGAGTCTGTAAAGTTTGTTTCTGCATCCTCCATCTGAGGAGGCTGCAGAGAGGTATAGTACTCTTCCAAGTCACTTGCAATTAAGTTCTGACAAAAAGTCCTTTGACTTAAAAATAGTGAACCAGTTGAATGCATACTTCAGTTTAAATTTAATCAATTTCTTAGTGGCAGTAATTCTGATATTCATGAATATCTAAAGGAAGGGGAATGAGATTATTTTAATTTAATTTATTCTCTATGTCCAATTTATTTCATGTAGAAACATTGTAAGAACAATTTTTCAAGAAAAAATTACAACAATTTATTAAAATACCATGTGAACCCTACAATAAAAGTAGTGATTGAAATGAAGTTATATGCTGCTATAATATTATCAGTATTATCACTGGCATTTCCTGCAGAGGCAAAAGGAGAGAAAGTAAGGTCAGAGTAAGGGTGTGCAGTAGCTTTGCTTGTATCAATACATATAGGAGCTCATAACAAAGATTCTGCTATCTCAGTTTGGCTATGGGCTGTAGCATTTAAAAGAAAGGGATGTTTTGTAATATGCATAAAATGCTATTATTTTAACTATAAACTGTACTGGAAAAAAAGAATAATATGGCTTTGGATTACAAACTTTACTCCATGAGTTGCTTCATAGAAGATGACTTCCTTTGTCAGGTGGAATTCGTCAGAGTTAACTGAAATATTTACTGAAACATCTGTTTCTGCTGGTATCTTCTCCTAAGCAATGTCCAGTATTAGCGGCAGCTAACATAAAGAAATTTGAAAGGTGCTGCAATTTGGGATCATCGGTGTCAAATTGCACAGCACTGAGTGCAGTCTATAGACTGAGATAGGGGAGAAAAAAAAATTAGAGGTACTGAAATGAAAATGAGGTTCCTGTAAAAGTATAAGGAGACATAGATTAGATTCTCATAAATATTTTTGATTTTTGTACTCTTGATATCTGTAAGGACTAGTCATTCACAATTCTACACTGAACGTGCTTTAAACATTTTCAGCAATACAAAACAAAATTTCTTGCTCTATATGAAAATTATCCAATTATAGAAAAAAGAAAAGGAGAAAATTGTAAGCAAAGTATATTTGAATTCAAATTCCACTACAAAGCATTTATAGCTTTTGCTTCGACAGCATGGTACACGGTGATGAAACTCATATAAATGCATCCTGATATTTCTTACTTTCTTTTCTAAAGTGCCTTTTCTAAAATTTAATCTCAGACCTCTTCCTCAGAGAAGAATTTAATTTCTACAGGAAATTCAATAAACTAATTTATATAACCAGTATTCTTTCAAATAATTTTGTAATCAGTCTATCCTAGACAATAACTAAGACCTTTTTGTCACAAAAGTTCAATTTAAACTTGAGATTGCCTTGCCTATCCATAGAGCCTTCGTCTCCTGTCTGAGACAGACAAAGGTAACACAAAAGGCCTTGCACAACCCAGAAGGATGAATCAGATTTCATAAGGCAGCTAAAATGGTAAGTCAACTGAATACAACCATCCCAATAGTGGCATAGCTCATAGAAATCTGATGGTCCTCAAAGTGTCTTTGTGGAAATTTTTAACTATTACTTTCATGAAAATGTGAAGAGTCCTGCAGTCAGCCAGAAACATTCTTAATCATTTAAAACATATATTTACCTTAAAAGGGGAGGATAGGAACACATCAAGTCTAAAGACATTGTGGAGTGTGGCAAAATAAATATTTTTGAAAGATTATAATACCAAAATAATTTTGATTTTTTTTATGTGGAGTTTTTCAAATGTTAATAAAATATTGAACTTTCATATATATTTCAAAAATGTAACATCCACAGTAAGGCTACCCAGCTGTGCTACCTCACAGGGATCCATCTCTCTTGGCGTTGCAGGACCCACCAGTTATTATGGCAGTAAGTGAACTGCAAATCCTCAGACCCCCTCAGGCACTGAACACACGTGTGTGTATGCACACATACACACATAAGTAATGCAGAATGAAGAAACTCTCTGCTTAATGGAAGGCACAGATGGTGCCCTGCTTTACTGTGAACTAGTTGGCATCCTCAGTATGATCTGGGATTCTTCAGGAAAAGGATTCTGTTCCTGTTCATAACCAGGAATGTTCAATGACAGGTGAGACAATTTAACATTATAGGACTGGGCATAAAGGTGCAGTAATCAATTGGCAGTAACAATTCCAAAAAACCCAAATTCTTGTCATACAATGGGGCTTCTGTTTCATCGTTCATATCTATGATTTTACAAAAGGCTGTATGGGTACCCCTCTTAGGAAATGAATGAATGTTCCTAAACTGCTAAAGCTGAAAGAATGGCTTGACCGAAAGATGAAAGGCAAAACATCACATAAAATAACAAAGAACTCATTATAACTACCTTACACAGGTCTGTGAAGGCTAATTGTCTGCATTTTAGCTAATTTGCTATACCTTTTGTGCTGTTACCTCTCTTAAAGCTGTCTACTAACCTCTAATTGTCTTTTGTTTCTCTTTGCAGGTCAGCTTATGGTGAAACTGCTTTCAAAGACAGCAGGTTAATCACAAATGTCTTCAATAACAAAAAGTCTGAGGACCTGTGTGTAGCGGAGACGTCCCTGAAGCTCACTCATTTAAAAGTCCCTGGTACAACTGTGTGTGGCGATTGTGTTCTCAGGGGGGAACCACAAGCATACTCACCCCTCACAAGCAGCTCTGTCTCATCTGACACGGTGTCCGCTGCCGTCTGGACCCTGCAGCCGTATCTCCCAGCGTGCATCAGCAGGATGTTCCTGATCATTAAATCTGCAGAGGACGCTTGCTGAAACAGGGATGAAGTGCCAGTTTAAAACTCAGTAAATCTGTGTTCAAGGTACTTCACAAGGGTGTTGTACAGTTTGAGAAACTCTTGAATGCAGCTTTCATCTTACAAAATGTATGTGTCCTAATACCCTCTTGTGAGGATTATCAGAACAGTGCATTTATACAATTATTAATAGGGATTAAAGAAGAGCATTTCAGGTTTTTAATAACTTTGACTTTGCTTAAAGCACATTGCGCATATTTGCATGTTCATGGGGAATTATTCCAACTAGCACAAAGAAATTCATTAAGGAGATGAACAGAAATATTTCGGATGCTATCCACGGTATTAAAAAAAGTCCTCTTAGAAATTAAGAACTTTCTTCCTCTCCCTCTTTACTGCAATGCAGTGACATTTGAAATATGTCTTGCTACTGTGCTAAAATTAAGATAACTTGAAAGATAATATTGATTAATTTTTATTAATATAGAGGAAGTTAATGCTAAATATGATTGAGAAAATATGATCATATTCTCATCCTTCCTGATGAAATCCATATGTATTTAAATCTGAAAAGTTCAAAATATATATAGAGAATATAAAGAGAGAACCAGTTCAAATTTTTATTTTTTAGAATTCTAGCCAACAGTCATTACAATTCCCCAAAGTTCATTTTAAGAAACATTAATTGAGTATAGCTATTTCCCTTCTCAGATTTGGTCTGTTTTGTTAACCAACAAACACTGACATCTTTCCTTGAAGAAAATATATTTCTATATATTTCTATATATTTCTATATATATATTTTTCTATATATATTTCTATTATATTTCTGTCCCATGAAGTGGCTCTAATGTGAGTAATTTTGATCCTGAGTGAATAGAATTGTACCCTGCATTCAAAATAAAATCTTATTGGGGTGTAAGTGTTGATACTTCTCTAGCTGTGTTGCAAATCTGTCACTGAATTCACCTAGATTCATATTTTCTTGTTTTTGGCACATACTTATTCTGTGCTCATGTAGACACACTCAGATCTTTATCCTTATTCATTAGCAAGTTATGAGCTCCTGCTTTATAACCAGTTGTTCAAATGTGCATGACCTTGTGCTTTGTAGGATTGCATTTCTTGTCTGTTCCCATCTGTTATTTTCATCATTTGCTGTATTGGTAAGATGTCCAATTTTGTACCATACTATTGTCATTTGCATACTTCTTTCTTTTATGCCAAGGTCATTAATGACAAGATGAAATAGGATTCATTTCAAGATCCAGTCTTCTACAATTTAGGGTTTTTTTGGTTTTGGTTTTGTTTTTTTTAGGCAGAAGAGTTCCTTTGCAGCAAATCTTGGCACACTTCTTCAGTCAATCTTCTCTTCATTTACATTTTTTGAACTAACTTGTCATAATATTCCATGTAGCATTAAGGCAAAATCTTTACCAAAGGATATTCAAATGCAAAGAAGAAAAAGAGAGGTGGAGACATCAAGATTGCCTCTGAGGCCAAAATGAGTATGGGCATGATCTATAGCTTAATAACCCTGTAGATCTAAGAGCATGATTGCTGTGGGAGTGTTTTGCCTTCTGAAGTGGCCTAGATAATAATGTTGCTGAAGGGAAGATACCCAGACCAGTCAGGCCATAATGCAATTCTTATATTCTTGCTCTGGCATATGAGAAATCACAGCAGTGGGAAAGGATATCTCAGTACTCTACAGCTCAAAATGCAAAAGAAGAGCACACACTACTACCAGGAGTCAAATTCAGGATATACATTTTTTATGTTGTATAAAAATAGCATTTACTACCTATTGAAATGGGTTGCTCAAGATCATTAGCGGTCTTGGTACAAAGCTTTAGTTATTAAAAGACTAAGACCAGAATCAGTCCACATTTGTCCTCTCTTGAGGATAATTTACATCTAATGGGTGTTTTGTTGTTAAGTGTGAGGAATAGTGTAATGGATAACAACTATCTGAATTACAGCAAAATTTTGGGTGTCACTCTAACTTCCAGAGGGTTCATGAATGTGTGAATCCTAGTATCATTATCAGGAAAAATAAATGTATTTCATCTGCACACCTGTGTAACCAGGCAGACAAGCAGCAATTGAAAGAATCATTTCTGTAAGTGAAGAGCAGTGCAGTACAATAGATCTCTATAGAAAACTTTTATTACAGCATAACAGGATGTGCAGCCAGCATTCCTGAGGTTATGTGAGTGGATTAAACTCACTGTGTTTAATACAGATAGGTATATGCTCAGACACTGGATTCTTGATCATAATCAAGACAACAATGATGCATTTTAGCTTCCATTTAGATAAGCAGGAGATATGTGTGACCAGGGACTCTAAAAAATTTACTGCATTACTACTGTTCAGTGGCATTTATGAAGTGGTCTTCATTAATTTTACAGACTCTTCCAAGTCTTAGAAGACAAATTATTTGTTGGTTAGTCTATCCTGTAATGAGGGTCTCTAGGCCATGAAAAGGTCTGGGGGAGGTTAAACTGATGTGCTTGCTTTTTAAATCTTAATTTCTGCACCTTGTCATTGTAGTTGCTACTTACACTTGAACAATTACAATCCAATTTTAAAGAGCCTACTAAGTGGGAATGCAGCAGAGAGTGCATTAAGAAAAGTATCTATGGTCAGAAACTTTCTTGTTCTTTTAGACTTCTGTCAGTGAAAAAAGATGTGATGCTTCAGCAAAGCATAGACATTCACTCCTCCTTGGGAGAAGACAAAAACTGGGTGATAAGGACACAAAAAGTGTAGGAATGTCTCACCTGGGCTAACATGATTTAGGACAGCCTGGTGTGTCAGCAACCTTGTGGTCTCAATTTTATTCAAATCTGAAGTTAGTGGCATTTAAATTTCTTTGTCTAGGTCTAAATTTTGATGCTATTATGTTTTTAAAAGCTGCCTTTTATTTCACTGTTTTTGTACTCTTTCATGACAGGGAATATTTTGCAAGCAGTGTGTTATTTCAAAGTAACATTTCATTAGAAAAATCCATATTCCTTGGTGTTCTGAGGATCATGTATTATCCATTTAACTGAGTATTAGTACCTTAATCTCAGTATAAACTTCTACTTGTAGAAGTATAGTGTAGATATTCTAGTGTAGATAGTATTTTACTGAAGCTAAAACCTAAAAGAAAATATAACAAAACGGATACATTCAACAACCAACTTTTACTGATTTTCAGGAAAGTTAAGAGTAACCTTCAAGGTCAGTATCGGCTACAGACCTGCTGTACACTGTTGATCTTCATTAAGTAGCAAATAAATAATAATAGAGCTCAGAATGCTGTCTATCATGACAAATGTTTCTCTCCAGGACTACAAATTATTGCACTATTCATATTATGCTTCCAAGCATTTCACTCATCTGGTTCTGGGCAACTCCGCTGCTGCATGATGTGTCAAGTTACGGCTCTCTGCTTCAGTGTGGCATGTTGTCTGAGGTCATGGTCATGCCTGCAATGTATCTAATTAGCTTTACATGTAAAGTATTGCTTGAAACTATATTTCAATTTTTTAAAAAATTGGTGCCACCTATGCATTAACATTTGCTTTTCATGAGGAAATACTTCCCCAAATTCAAAAAGGTTCCAAGGAGCATATAGCATGTATAGCTTACTCAGTAGTAATAACATCATTGTATTTGTCTTTTGCACTCATTGTCCTAATGTTGGAGAGTTTGCAGAAACAAACAAAGAAACAAAAAGACAATTTTCAGAGAATTTACTGTTGGGGAATTAATCCATCTTCATCCATCACAAACACCCACAGAGAGGAACTTGCGTGTGGATTTTTTTCTCTTTCCAATTCAGAAATCTTAAGAGGTTGTTGTGGGAGACTGGACTGATACAAGTTAATTACTCAAACAATCAATCAACTGCCCAAGTGCAGAAGGTGTGCACACCATCACCAGAGGCTACAGCTGTGTGTTGGATAAGATAAGGGAAGAGGCTGGTAAGAGGCAGATCTTGTAAATTGGGATCCTCCTTTTTATTCTGCCAAAGTCCTTACAGCAGGAACTAGCTGTGGAAATTCCCTTCCAAAGAAGTAGCAGGACATTCACACACAGCCTGAAGGAATTCACTCCTGATGGGTCATAATTGACTCAGTTTCACTGATATAAGAGGCAGCTGTGATGTCTTAGTCTTAGAATATGTCATCAACCATCAGACTCCAGAAGTGTCCCATGATCCAAAGAATTACATTATCCAGTGCAAAATTCCATGTCCCAGGGGAAGTACTTGGGCATGCCCACCCAGACATCAGTAAATATAAACCCAGTGGATTCTACATTTGATTTTATGAGCCCCTCATGGTTCAAACAGTGACAAGCACTTTGACTAGACTGACTTGATAGGACCCCCACCATTGAGAAGACCAGAAAACAACCAAAACAATCCATGCAGTGGTGACATATTTATGTCATTCTCTTTCTCTCCCCACCTATACTTTCTTTTCCTATTTCTCTCTCTCTCTTCCCCTCTCTCCCTCACTTTTACTGTTAAATAAAAATCCATACTAATGACTGTGACATATTGTCTTGTTTACACCTTAATTTGGGCAAAGACATTTCTCTAATTTTAATAACCGTATCTTAACAGTTGTGAGTTGCTTTGCAATAAACAACTTTTACATACGTTTCTTCCCTCAAATGAAGAGAATTAAAATGCTTCTTCTTATTCTTCTTAAAATTATTCATGAGAATGAGTTCGTTGTCCTGAACAAGTTGCTAGGAAACCTCTCTGTTAATCTGTCCATTCATTTGCTGAGTTTTTATCTGTAAACCAAGGTGGTCCTTTCAGTGTATCCAACCTTCTCTTCAGAAGACTTTGCACAAGAACAATTTCCAATCTGCCTGCATTTGAAATGGAGCTCACAGTTACACCCTAGAGCACTCTCTTAACATTTAGTAAGTCTTTTGTTCCCTTCTCCCTATCTCTTCCATGAAAGAATTACACTCGGGTTAATTATTACATAATTTATCACATATGC